ACTAGCTCTCAGTTTCAAGAGAGTGTGCCCTCTTATTCTTTGAGTACACATAAAGTAATGTATTCGGGAGCTGGGTACTTCTTAGAATGTCAGAGTTGCCTTGTTTTAAGATACGACTTGAGTGAGTGTGTGCTGCATCACCACAAGCCGATTTTGCCACCAGACAAGGTTAGGAATAATAATATGCTTTGTACAGCAGTATATATCTTTGGTACCAGACTGCAGAAAGATAAAATTACAAAATATATTAAGGTATATTTAATGCTCCTCCCCCTCCGCCCCAATCTTCCTTTGCTGCTTCAGCTTCTCAGTTGCCATTTTGTTCTCTTTTCTTAAGCTGGAATCTGTTTCTATTAATCCAAGATCATCATTTAAAATGCCTGGTGCTTCCTCCCCTACTCTCTTGCCCCTTTCCGTAGAGATAAGAACATAATGCTCATATTAGGGCAGGAAATATGCTGTGAAGTAGGTGCTGGACTGAAATGCAAAAGACCCTAAACTGAAGCTGGCCGCCTTTTTAAGTTTCCCCTGCAGTTAGAAACCTCAGGTTTTGGAACATGTGGGCTCTTTGCAGACCAAACAAATGACAAGACTTAGGTTGGCTTGGTTTTTAAATTTTTACTGCATGCTTAGGGGGATAGGGTCTGATATTTCTGTTGAAATAAATGGGTCATCTGGGAAATGGTTAGCTCTTCATTTATTGTAATGTACAGTCTGTACATGCATAGCTATGAGACAGTTACGCCCTTCTGTGTGTGTGGGAGGATGCCAAGGAAGAACGCTGCGTTGAAGTACTCATCTGCAGTGTCAGACTGAACAGTCGCAATTACATTTGGAATAAGTAGATATAAGAGTAGTTTATTTTGAAGTTTAACTTATGAATGCACTTCAAAGAACCATATATTGGAGCAGGTTGGCACTTTTAACACAGCAAGAAAAGTAAGACTGAATATATCCATTAGGGGAGGCAAATAAAAATCAGAGTGATACGAAATGGGAGTACTGGGAAATATGATTAGATATATCTGTTCAAGTTTCTGAAGATTACTGCCTGGTCTACAGAGAGCTGGCTAAGTACATTGCACTACTTCGTTCTTCCAGCTGTTATTTTGAATGAAAAGGAACTAAAATTAGGTGTTTCTTAGATAAACAGTCCTGTGGTTAATCTAATTAATGCTGATTTCTTCATGATTATAAGTAGGAATGAAGGTGTTAAGATAGCCAATTAATATGAAGTGTACATTATTAAAATGTGTGACCTAGAATCAAAAACTTTTAAAATTCCCGAGGAATTCATTTTGAATTTACTGTGTTTAGTACAAGGAATACTTTGTTCCATAACTTGGGCTTCCTGGGTGCCACTGTTATGGCAAAGATTACTTTTTTTTTTAAAAGGTAGCAAAAAGAAACTTCTTCCAGGAGAGAGATCTAGATGTTTCCTCTTTTTTCCCCCCACTTACCTTGTATAATACCACTTACCCTGTATAATACTCATTAGCAAAACAAGAAGCTGCATACCTACTCTCTTTAAAATGTAAAAATGATCATTTACTAAATATAGAAACATATGTCTTCACCTAAAAGGGGCCCAGCTTTCTTTAATGTATTAATATAAGGAGTAAACCTGCTGTTAAAGAAAAAACTGTTAAAAAATTGCTTTTGGTGGGAATTTACGCCGTTGAAGCTATTGTGTATAGTTTTGTATAGCTATTGAATAGTCTTGTATTTAAAACCAAGGTCTTGACTAAACTGACCTTGCAAATAAAGATGATAAATTTTTAAAAGGAGTCTTTCCACTTGTGAACTAGATGTAAAGAATAGATGAGTATCAGAAAAAGAGGGATCTTGGTTGGATTGTTCTTTCGTTCCTTTAGCGCTCAGTTACCATGGTGCTTTAGCAGGATAGCATAGCTACAAGGGAAATGGTGCTGGTGTTGTGATACCATTGTTAAGGTTTTTCATCAGTTTCCCATACAAACAATTTACATTTCCTTTTGTGATAGCTCTCTAGGAATTTCTTTAAATAAATACCTAGGAGAGATGCTTCCATTTTACAAGACCAGAAATATTTAAGAAGGCTTTATAGGCTCTTGTGTTTTGTCCATAGCTATAGCAGGAACTACATAGCTTTCTTTCAAGGCCAGCACTTTGCTTACGTACCAGACTGGCAGGTTGTCAGTTCAAGCCAGTAATTTAAATCTTTGGTGCTAGTCAAAGCTGTCAACTTAATAACAGCTTACTGCATAAACACGCTTGGGGGACTTATTCTAGGTCATTAGTATGGGAAGTTTCACATACTGAATTGATGTTTATCACTGCAGATTATTTTAAAAGCTAGGCTTGTTTGAAGGAAAAGTAGTAGTTTGCTTAAACAACTCTGCTTTATGTGCACAGCCTTGATCACTGGAATGGGTAGTAGTCACTTCAGAAATGGAGCAATATTAAACAGATACGTTTTGATTTTTTTGAGGAAGTAGAGGGTCATCTGATGTTGGGTTTGGTGTTTTGTTTTGGTTTTTCTTTTTTTTTTTTTTTTAAGAGTGAAACGGGGCAGAGGAAGCAGATTGGTGTGGTAGACATCTCAGTATGCCATAGCGGGAAAGATCTGCTTTGCAATGCCTTCTGTCACCACAGAGGTTGATAAAGAAGTAGCACAGGAAGTGGTACTAGTGAACGAGTAATGGTGCATATACAATGATTTGGCTAGTATGACCCAGTACACTGGGGACACATACACATTACAGTCGTCTAAATGCTTAGCAACACTAGATAGAAAATAATCAATACTTCACATTTTTATGCCAGTTTTTCCCCAGAGCCACCAAAATGGTTCATCAGCAGTAGAGCAAAAGCTGCTCACTGGTGTAAGTAGTATGTATGTGGGCATTATTTCCTTCACCTCAAAACTGTTATCCCTTAGGGTGATGAGTAAGATACATTCTACCTTGTTTGAAGGAAATATTGAAGAGCAAGTGGTCAAAGGCAGTAGTTGTAGTGTAGTCATGAGCTAAACTCCTCCTGTGTTTGAAGAATGTGCTATGAAGCTCTAACTGACTGCGACTTGGGTTTTATCTCGTTCTCTGATTACAGTTGGTCAGAACCCCTGCACCATCAGGAAATGTAGCAAGACACCAGTTCACTACTTTGGTGCAATGGTGTTTTGAGTCTACCCAGTCCTTATGGAGCCTTAATGGTTTCTGGTGGCTTGTTGCTAAAGGGCTGACTGGTGTGGTCCTCCCTAAGTTGTAAAGATTAACAGGATCGTGCCATAAGGCTTTAGTAGGAGGAAATTTTGCCTGTGTATTTAGAAATATTCTGATATTTTAAACATCAAACAATTTGACTAGCACTGTTACAAGCTTTCTGAAACAGTAAAAAAAAAGTATCTGTGTGGAAGCATTTAGTTGTTGAAAACAGGAGCATCTACTATATAAATGAACTGCAGCTATGATACTAAAATAAATTAATATTTTGTAGTTACCAATTTTACTTTCGATTACAGTCAGGACTAATTGTGTTCATTTTGCTGTGGATCGGTATTTCAAGGGGAAATTGTTCTTCCTTTTTTCTCATTTAAAATTTGCTTTATGTATCTTTTAAATTTTTTAATAAATAAAATATGCCTGAACAGATGTTGTGTTCTAGTTAGCCATATATAGCTACACTAAAGATCTGAAAGTTCCGTCGTTAAATGTCTTAAATGTTTCATTTCTTGTCTGTATATGCAGTTTTTAAGTTTCTGTTACATGAAGAGTTTCTCATATATTCTCTTATTGTTGTGATTTTTGAAATATTAGATGAGTAAAGTGAAGAGATTCCTTTTCCAGCTGAAGACATGGGATGATGGGAAATGTACAGCTGCTTAATCTGTTTTCAGAAACGAGGCTGGAGAATATAAAAAGTAAATACTGTCAGAAACATTGAAGAAAACATTATTTAAGCCTTTTATGTTCTGGTCAATGCAGATGAAGTCATGTAGATTCTTTTACATAATGTGCCCCTTTAATGGTCCTGCTGGAAGTTGACTTGTTGGCAGCTGTACAGTGCAGAATAAGATGGATAAAGTTCTGTTCCTGTTTCAAAATACTGTAAGCGTGAGCATGTCAGAGTTGTACTAAGACAAATTCAGTCTTTTTTTCTTTTCAGTTTTATCCATTTTGTTAGTTAAACCAACTGTTAAATTAATGAGAGCACATTTGAAAAAACCGTAAGTTTGAAACATTGCTTGCTAGTACTTTTTGGAGTGGAATTTTCTTTTTCCTCTGGATCCTGACACTGCTAAGGAGATAGAAAGGTGTAGCACTGAGAGTGATGGGTCTGTGGTGAGAAACCGCATTTAACTCCTTTATTTCTTCATGAAGGCCTTGCTGGGTCTTCAGATCACGTGGCATTCTGCAAGAACCTTAATCCCGTGGGTTACCTGGGTACTGGAAATGCATGTATGCCTGTAGCCACGGGATCAATTGATGTCTCTTTGGTTCTGTTGTAGCAAAGCATATAAGTGTGCTTAAGTTCATCCTGGTTAAGGAAAGCATTGAAATCTATGTGTAGACACTCATGAATTCATTGTGGTTCTGTGGTTACATGTGTTCTGAAGTGTTTTACTGAAATGGCACTGCAGTCCCTAATGAAAATTCCCTGTGTTTCCAGTTCCCAGTATGAGCTGACAGCTGGCTACAAGTCAATTGTCATTTGCTCTGATTTGTCTTTTGAATCTTCGAGGGTGTAACAGTACTGGGATGTTTGCAAAAGTAGCAAGCCAGAACATCGCACACCTCCTTATGTGGCATGACAAAATGACTGAATGGCTTGTTTTTTCATCTTAAAGCTTTGCAGATTTGTAGCTACCATGACTTCAATGATGCGTAAGTACTGCCCACACAAGGAAAGAGATACAATAGTGGCTGAAGGCAAGCAAAATTGCATATAAGGCAATGTGTGGGAGACACATTTGTTATATACTGAGTATCTGAGCAAAACCATGTGTCATGTTTCCTTAGGTTCTCAACAGGAGATGTGTAGAAGCAGCAGTGATGACAGGCCTGGCACTCAACTGCAGCATAAACAAGAAGTCCTTGTTTGACAGAAAACACTATTTCTATGCAGATCTGCCTGTAAGTATGCAGTATAGCTGGTCCCTTTATGGCTGTAGGAAAGGATAAGTCTGGAGTACGCATGGTAATAGGGGGTGAGTGAAGAGATGCTTTTTCTGTTTTCAGTCAGCATTCTGCTCACCCCAACAGGATGCTGCGCTGTGCCCTGATGAATACACAGCTGTACCCTGGTGCTCACTGATTGAATGTGATTGCTCTGATTGCTGACTCCTTGCTTAGCTGCACGATTCCAGTAGCTTAATGTAATTGAATTGGGAGCTGGAGCTGCTTTGCCCCTCAAGTTCTCCGTTCCTGGTGTTTAGTACTAATTGTCTGTTAGGGTAAAAGCAGTCTGGTAATAGTCCTTCATTTAAAGTGAATGTGTAACAAACACAAGTTCCAGTGGTATAAACATGCTAGTGTCTTTTTTGTGTGTGCTTAGGGACCTAAAAATATTTAATTTCCCTTTTAAACTTTCTCAGTCAGTAGTTCCAATAAATTAAAAAGAAAAAACCCTGAGAAACTGCATCTTTGCGGTATGGTTTGTTGGTAGCTTTCATATTTGGTAGAAGGTGTCACTGGAAGTCAAATGCATTTTGCTGCACTTGATATGGGTGTAGAAATGTTAAAATCATTTAAGAACCTGACTTCTGTCATTGCAACAGAATGTAGCAGCGTTTGAGCCTTTTTGTCTATTTTATTGAAATTAAACCTTTCTGATTTTAAACATGTTTTTTTTTCTGCCAGCACATTTGTTCTGAATGTTCCATTTAACACTAACCTGTCAAAGGGAGGACACTAGTTTTACTTCCTCTGATTTTGGGGTGAAGATCTGATGACTGCATTAAAAGAAAAGAATCTTTTCCTATTTTCTCTGAGAAAGATCAGGCATGTTAGCTTATCCTCTATTAGCTGAGGTATCCTCGACATCCAGAGAAGCAGAGTAGGAGATTTCTCAGGCCCCAAATTAATGTGTAGAGCTGCTGTATTATTAACCAAACTACTTTCTCTCCCACTCTTTTGTTCAGGCATTGGAAATATTTTGAAGTTACACAAATTGCTTCCCACCTTAGAAAGAGAACTGTTATAGTTGTCCACTGGAGACCTTGATCTCGGAAGCGATTTCTGTTCTGTTTTCTTCTACGTTGGGAACTTGTGGCTCTTCTGTGAAGTTGATGTAATTACTGATTTGGTTTCTGGGGATAACTTTGCTAATATTTGTGAGCCATTAAGAGGCCTTTTTGTTGGGGGCTCTGTAGTGAGCTACCGGGAATGTGAAACACAAACTTACCAGTTTGAATTGGCAATACATTTTTTTTAACTTGTAAAACTATCTTAAAGCCCATTTCCAGACCTGAAGGAGAAAAAAGTGAAATAGCAGGAAATAAACATGACTTTCAAAATTCCTTTACACATCATAAAGAAACACCAAAAACATCACAGACTTGTTTGCAAGCCACCTTTGGTGCTTCTGCTGTTAAACTGAAAACACTCATATTGTGATGTCTGCTGCTATCAGTCTGCTGCATAGAAGCTATATGGAAGAATGTTGTCATAGGAAAGAAACTGCATCCATGTTTTTAGAGGAGAAGAGTGGGGTGGAAGAAGGTGTGTACAGCACCAAGTAGGCTGCCGTTGTCTGCAGACATGACTTAACAGGATCCTCTGGTCAGATAAGCATGGAAATTTGGTCAAGGTGATGCTGACACATTTTATTAGCTTGAAACATGTAATTCTGGCTTTCTACTGGCTGACTTCTGCAGTTTAAGCCCTGACAATAAGCTGTTGGACCTGCATTTCATAGTGAAACAGTCTAGTCAGGAACCCTGTAATAAGATGCAGAGTTTAGGCTAATGAGCTGTATAGAACAGATAAAATAAATCCAGCTCTTAGGGTCGTTTGACAATGGGATTATTGTTACTCCTGAAAACGGGGCTTTGGATGGGAAATGGGATTCTTGTTATTTATTGTCACTCACTATTTCAGGCTTTAAAAAAATCATTTTAATGAGAAGTTTTAGGAGATGGGAAGAGCTGTGTGATTAGCATAGGCTGCATAGAGTCAGTAATTTTTTTTTTCTTATAGTGATTATGGCTAGAAGGTCATGCACTTCATTGCGTATATAAATTGAGCTGTTCACGGGGCCAGACCATTGTTCCCCATTCCAATGCACTTTCACCATCTGTACATTTTAGAGTGAGTTTGTCCTGCCTGCAAAATATGCAAATACTCCTCCCAATTCATTAAAACCTGGCAGGCTTTTTTTTTTAATTCTCACAACTGCAGGCATGAACTGGCTAGGAAGGAGGAAGAGATGGGGACCCTACCTTAGCAGAGTAATTGACTCACTTCTATATGTTTACATCATTACAGTTATTTCAATACCTTGTCACTGGCAGCCCCTTCTCTGGCTAGCAGTTTCCCCTTTGAGTGGAGTCCCAGGCATGAGGTGGCATTTATCAGCTGTGTGCCTTATGTGGGGTTGCAGTGTATCTTTTAAATTGCTACTTTAATGAAATTGAGCTTTCTCATTTTCTTGATTTCCACCCCCCCTTCCTTCTCCCTCTCCTCCCTTCTAACGAGTAAGGCTCTGAACAGGCAGGGAGGGATATTCAGCCTGATGGGAGGATGAGTGATAGTCCCAGCTTGGGGATGGAGGCACGGTAACTGGTTTCAGGCAAGATTTAACATAATCATGGAACCACAGGCATGGAAGAACCTCTTCTAGTCCATTTCCTGGCCCAAGGCAGTATCAGTGAAATTTATGTCATCCTTGACAAGTGGTTGTGCAGTTGATTATTGATTGTTTCTCCATTAGTATAGTATCTTATACTTGCCTGTATTGAGGAGTGCTCTTATTTTTTCCAGACCTCCAGCTTCTCACAGTTAATGTTGAATTCTAGACCCATCTTCTAGCTTGCTTCTTTTCCAGCTAAGCAGAATAACTTCTGAATTCACATGTGCACTTGTTCTATCCTCTTATACAGGTCACTATGGAAGATGTTGCATTTTCAGTTTTCTTCTTAGTCTATAATATTTGTACTTGGCCATGCTGCTGCTTTCTGAAAAGTGAATGTTTTATTTGAGTATAAATCTAATTTTGTTGACAGGCTGGCTATCAAATCACTCAGCAAAGAGTTCCTATTGCGGTGAATGGAAATCTGTCATACAGTCTCTGCGTAGACAACAAAATGAGCCAGATGGTGACCAAAACTGTGAGGATTAAACAAATTCAGTTGGAGCAGGACAGTGGAAAGAGTCTCCATGATGACACAAGGAGCCAGACTCTTGTTGACTTGAATAGGGCTGGTAGGCTTGGATTATTTTCCTATTTTTCTCTTCCTTTCTGTGTAAGATGAGTCTTTAAAGCTAAATGGGTGACAGCGAACAGGTGAAAAATAAAAACAGCCTGATCTCTCTCTCCTTGAAAATAAAAATTAATCCAAATTACTATTACACTTGAAGCAGGGGAATACTTGAATTTTTTAATGGCCAGTGGACCTTGCCCATTGCTTTGGTTGATAAGCAGTTGGCAGTAGAAAGTTAGAAATCTGTTGGCTCAAGTCTGTTCAAAACTGTATGTGTCAGTCACAGACAGCCACTCAGCTATTTAAGCTTTTGCCACTGTATGCGTTTTTGTTAAAAAAAATAAAATATCACAGACCTAGTGAATCAAGTTTGTGTATAGAAGGAGCAGCTGTTGGAATTTGTCAGTGCATGAGTCAGACATTTCTTTTAATTACTAGCTTTGAAAAAATGTAGATTTTCTCTCTAAACTTTGAAATTGTAAATGGAATGAATCAAATTAGCACACAACATGGGCAGCAACCTGGATGGCCTAGCCTAACTGGGACACAGCGCTCCGGTGTCCATTGAAGTTAAGGGCTGTGACTGCTCATATTCTTTGAAAGCTGAATCCTGAAGCTAAAAACTAGACTACATCTGTTTACAGTTTGTCTGTTCCAAAATTAGTTTAAGATAAATAAATTTGAATCTGGAATGGGATTGGCTTTAAATGTGAGTTCTCCTAGACAAAGGCAGAAGAGGAATGTGTCCTTCTGATCTGCATGTCATCAAAGGGTGGAGGATTGTCTGCGGTTTGTCTGTTCCTTTAAAAAAATAGGAGGAAAAGTTTTTATGGCAATCTGCAGCCAGGCCCATAGTGACAGTTACTAAATAATAGATTGGGGTTTATTTTTTTCAAAAAAAACCCAAGTGCTTTCATGTGTTTAGCCAGTTGCACTGTAATATGCCAAGATCAAAAGCTATTGCTGAAATTTTCCCTGATAGGAGTCGGCCTCATGGAGGTTGTCATGGAGCCTGATATGTGCTGTGGAGAAGAAGCAGCTGCAGCAGTCAGAGAGCTTCAGCTCATTCTTCAAACACTTGGGAGCAGCCAGGCAGTCATGGCAGGTACAGAAGGGGGAAGGGCATGTTCCCTTGTCACCAGTAATTCTCTGCATTTGCAGGAGTTTTGCAGCTTCTGGTTATTTTGCTCTGTGGTCACTTATAATGCAAAGCCTATTCTAGCTGTTGTTTTTACAATCCTCCGAGCTTGTTCTAATGTCTGCCATGCTTCAGGTGTCCTTATGGGCCTGCCTTCGTCTGCAGAGTTTTGCAGTGCTAGATTTTATATTGTCTCACACAATAATTTTACAGGATAAACCTAGGCAGGAAGGAATGTCCCCAGGGTTCTTGTGGTGTTTCTCCCTGTCTGTCCTCATCTTGCTTGCCACAGCACTGCAGCACAGAAGATCTGTAGTAAGGATTGTAGAATATGTAATAAATAAGTTGCAGAATATGGAAGTTATGGGACAAAGTAGTTGTGCTGGTTTTGGCTGGGAGAGCGTTAATTTTCTTCATAGCAGCTAGTGTGGGGCTATGTTTTGGATTTGTCGAGAAAAGAGTGTTGACAACATAGAGATGTTTTTATTATTGCTGAGCAGTGCTTACACAGAGTCGAGGCCTTTTCTGCTTCTCACACCACCCCACCAGTGAGTAGGCTGGGGGTACATGAGAAGGTGGGAGGGGACACAGTCGGGATAGCTGATCTCAACTGACCAAAGGGGCATGCCATATGACATCATGCTCAGCATATAAAGCTGGGGGAAGAAGAAGGACGGGGGGCACATTCAGAGTTATGGCATTTGTCTTCCCAAGTAACCGTTATATGTGATGGAGCCCTGCTTTCCTGGAGATGGCTGCACACATGCCTGCTGATGGGAAATAGTGAATGAATTCCTTGTTTTGCTTTGCTTGTGTGCATGACTTTTGCTTTACCTATTAAACTCTTTTTAGTTCAACCCATGAGTTTTCTCACTTTTACCCTTCTGATTCTCTCCCCCTTCCCACCAGGGGGGAGTGAGCGAGCGGCTGTGTGGGGCTTAGTTGCCAGCTGAGGTTAGACCACAACAGTCCTTTTTGGTGCCCAACGTGGGGCCTCTTTAGCACGTGTCACCTCCTTCTCTGGGAATATTTTGAAATCTTTGCCTTCTGGCCAGTTCATGATTACTTCCAAGATTCCTGGGTGACTGAGGTTTCCTATTTGAGCCCATTGTGTGATCAATACAATCCACTTATTCCATGTAGCATCAGTTGCATGGTGTGTACAGGGGACCCTCCCTTTGAACATCCAGCCCAACACTGGCAGTCGGGGTGCCAGGAGGAGCTGTGCTTCAGTACCAACCACTTCTGAAGCAGCTCGAACCCCTTCATATGCTGCCAATATCTCCTTCTCAGTTGGAGCAGGCCTCGGATCTTCTGTATCCCCAGCTCCAAAACCCTAGGGGTTGACCTCAAGTCTCTCCTGGTGCTTTCTGCCAGAGGTTCCAGGTAGGGCCACTCTCCCCGGCTGTGGTGTAAAGCACATCTTTTACGTGGTTTAACCCCAGCCAGCAACTAAGCACCACGCAACCGCTCACTCACT